GACTTATAAGTAACTGTTTCTAGTATTCCATGATTGTCATTACATACGAGAAAAGTAACAATTACACGACTCTTTCAAATGTTTAAATTTAGTTCCGAGACAATTTCTTACATTTTAGTAGAAATTTTAACTCTATGGTGCTTAATCGTAAACAAAGTTAAACATGTATGAAAACTTAGTACACCACTGAAAGAAATACATATTCCTACTATTGCATGTAAATGATCACATTGCCATATTTGTAAACATGACGCAAAAAACCTCATTTACGCTCTAGAGTCTACGCCATACTTTTCGAGAGCGGCAATCGCGTTGCGCTCAATACACAAATAGCTACAGTATTGACGGAACACTTGAGGATGAAGCGATGAAGCAAGAATGAAGCAAGGTGCCGCTAAGTGCGAACGTATTATTTGCCGAACAGAGAAAAGTGTAGAAAGTGATTATTGTGCGATCCTGGGCTCACTTGAAAGGTTTCTGAGTCTGCTATGAAAGCTATCAATTACTGCATGATGTCCATTAGTTCCTTGCCGTCCGCTCCCACGATCACACATGCCGAGTACATTACTAAAGCTGCATTACCCCCGAATTTTCCCACATTTGCGGACAAGGCTGTGGATGTTATGCGGTTCTATTGAATGAAGTTTAGCTAAGCGTCCTTCTTCCATGATGTTCTTTCATTATCTTCTTGGTTGATGGATGAGCCTACTCAGTTCTAGGAATATTCTCCTTGGTAGGTCAAAAATTATTCATAAACTCTTAAATATATAGCTGGTAATGCTTTAAAAGGGTGAACTCACTACCAGGACAAAATACATTGGAATTACGTTTTCATCAATTGGCTTCGCTCCAAGAAGTTCTACCGTTGTGTCTAGAATATTCGGACTTTGCGTATTTTTTGTACATCAGTTTCTACCAACAGATATACTAAAATACAATTAAATTATTAATCATTTTCGTACGAATTGCCAAGTATACAAGATATGTATAAGTGTATAGGTAACACATTCTGGAAACGATATCCGTGATATTGAGTGAATAATGATTGAATCTTGATACAAAAGTTTTAACCTTTTTTTTAAGTACCGTACTGTACTGTACAAGTAATATTAAACTAAACTTGTTTTTTCTCACAGTTTTAGCTCTACTGCAAAAACGAGAACAATGCACAACGCTCAGCTGATTTATTTTGCACCACTTGAATTTTTTGTGGTTGGTCGAGTAACCACTGTCTTCTTTTCCATTATAGCTTATCTACCGTGTGCACATGTGTCACACGATTACATATTTCCACAACAAACAGCCAATTAGGAAACTATATCGGAAAGTGTGTGCTGGAAAGTCTGGTTGGCGTTTACAAATGACGACCATTCCATTCACTAACTAGAGGCGGTAGATTATTCAACTAAACTAGTGGGAAACATGCAGTTCAGTGTAGTACTAATGTTAAACATGTAGTCAACGGTGCTTTTCCGGAGTCTAAAACCGTTTCTGTGTCTCGTAGGTTCAGTTAGACAAAATCGAGTCCCCTTGTCTTTAAATTGGATGCTTAATTAGTTGTTATTGCTTCGTTAATGTAGATAAGACTTCAATTTGTCAAGGTAAATTATACTTTGTATTGAAAATATTTAACAATCTCAACTTTGACATGTGATAAAAAAAACTGATGATACAACTAAATCACTATTGGCACCATTTAATTAGATTGTAAATCTGGATGCATAGATAACACGCACATAAAATTCAATAAATTTCATTCCCTATTTACATCTTGAATCACGTTGAATACATATAGGTGTAAACGACTTAATTTTACCGCGAAGACGCTATCATCAATGACTATTGATATTGTAAAATTTGCGGAAAATAATTATTCTTATTCTTACTTAATTTTATGTGTTTATGAATTAAATATCGTTACCTCTAAAATATTGAAACGTTTAAAGACATTATCACTAAATACATGGTGATTTGAAACTTGTATGTTTTCAATCTAGTCCCTAACCATCTAGGATCACAGAAATATCGTTATGATGGTCACTAGGTCACTAATAGCATTGAGTAATACATTCTATTGCTATCCTTCATTGCTGGTTTACACTAACCCACTCAACGCGTCCAATTGTTTTACATCACAACATGCAGACAAACATAACTATATTCTTGTGTTGTAGTAAGAGTGTTAACAGTGGCAGTCGTGTAAACATTTCATATTCTCATTCCATGTCTAAGGTTAGTTTCAACGCAGGCCCGCGGTCAATGTCGTAAAACCTCCTTGTTATAGCTCAGCGCGGCTGCGCACGACTATTTACGGCAAAGCGCGCAGATAAACTGTGCTTTTTATAAATGTCATTTAAACACGGCGACATGTTTTGCCCAAGTTTAATGTATGCGACCTTTGTCGCTACTAGGGTGCGAATCTTCTACTTAGGTTTACGACTCGCCCCGAGTACCTGGTAGATTTGATGGTGTGGTTTATGCGCGAGAACGCATTGAGACGTCTGCGCGTTTATATGCGTTAGGATTAATTGGAATCTAATTTTTTAACTATGTGTGTTTTCATGAATTTATTAGAAATTATGGTTATCCTATAGAGTGTCATTTAGGTTTTGTGAGATAATTTGTACAAGCAATTTTAAGTCCATTCGATAGTACTGTACTCTGATGGTAGTTCAGGTTCGTTCTTAGATTCGATTGCGTGTTTACCTTTGTAAAACTTAAGTCTAACAAATAAATAACTCTAATAGACAAACCCCCAACATTTTAGGTGCAGTAGATTTTTCCTCGAACGTAAATGTATATACAATAATCTAGCAACGTTTTTGTATTTTATTTTCTGGAGTAATATTTGCATCTAGAGCGCAGTGAGCCTAGCATTAATTATACCCCAAGTGATTTACGGTCCTAATCGAACTACCCTCGATCTTTAATGATAATAAGATGACCAATAGGATCAAACCCTCTTCGGATAAATGTATGGATTTGTAGAAATGAGGACGGTTTTAACTCCCCATTATAATACAGAACATCAAAGCTAAGAATTTACTGAACATGAATTTGTTTCACACCCTCTACTCGTAGACTAATGTATAAATTGTCAGGGTGCTGTTTCATCTCTCCAGCCTCCAGGACACATTTAGAACATCAAAGTTAAGAATTTACTTAACATGAATTTGTTTCAAACTCTCCTCCCAGACTAATGTATAAATTCCCAGGGGTACTGTGCTGTTTCATCTCTCCAGCCTCCACGAAACATTTAGAACATCAAAGCTAAGAATTTACCGAGCATGAATTTGTTTCAAACCCTCTCCTCCCAGACTAATGCAAATTCCCAGGGGTACTGTGTTGTTTCATCTCTCCAGCCTCCACGAAACATTTAGAACATCAAAGCTAAGAATTTACCGAGCATGAATTTGTTTCAAACCCTCTCCTCCCAGACTAATGCAAATTCCCAGGGGTACTGTGTTGTTTCATCTCTCCAGCCTCCACGAAACATTTAGAACATCAAAGCTAAGAATTTACCGAGCATGAATTTGTTTCAAACCCTCTCCTCCCAGACTAATGCAAATTCCCAGGGGTACTGTGTTGTTTCATCTCTCCAGCCTCCACGAAACATTTAGAACATCAAAGCTAAGAATTTACCGAGCATGAATTTGTTTCAAACCCTCTCCTCCCAGACTAATGCAAATTCCCAGGGGTACTGTGTTGTTTCATCTCTCCAGCCTCCACGAAACATTTAGAACATCAAAGCTAAGAATTTACCGAGCATGAATTTGTTTCAAACCCTCTCCTCCCAGACTAATGCAAATTCCCAGGGGTACTGTGTTGTTTCATCTCTCCAGCCTCCACGAAACATTTAGAACATCAAAGCTAAGAATTTACCGAGCATGAATTTGTTTCAAACCCTCTCCTCCCAGACTAATGCAAATTCCCAGGGGTACTGTGTTGTTTCATCTCTCCAGCCTCCACGAAACATTTAGAACATCAAAGCTAAGAATTTACCGAGCATGAATTTGTTTCAAACCCTCTCCTCCCAGACTAATGCAAATTCCCAGGGGTACTGTGTTGTTTCATCTCTCCAGCCTCCACGAAACATTTAGAACATCAAAGCTAAGAATTTACCGAGCATGAATTTGTTTCAAACCCTCTCCTCCCAGACTAATGTATAAATTCCCAGTGGTGTTGTTTCATCTCTCCAGCCTCCAGGACACATTTAGAACATCAAAGCTAAGAATTTACCGAGCATGAATTTGTTTCAAACCCTCTCCTCCCAGACTAATGTAAATTCCCAGGGGTACTGTGCTGTTTCATCTCTCCAGCCTCCAGGAAACATTTAGAACATCAAAGCTAAGAATTTACCGAGCATGAATTTGTTTCAAACCCTCTCCTCCCAGACTAATGCAAATTCCCAGGGGTACTGTGTTGTTTCATCTCTCCAGCCTCCACGAAACATTTAGAACATCAAAGCTAAGAATTTACCGAGCATGAATTTGTTTCAAACCCTCTCCTCCCAGACTAATGTATAAATTCCCAGGGGTACTGTGTTGTTTCATCTCTCCAGCCTCCACGAAACATTTAGAACATCAAAGCTAAGAATTTACCGAGCATGAATTTGTTTCAAACCCTCTCCTCCCAGACTAATGCAAATTCCCAGGGGTACTGTGTTGTTTCATCTCTCCAGCCTCCACGAAACATTTAGAACATCAAAGCTAAGAATTTACCGAGCATGAATTTGTTTCAAACCCTCTCCTCCCAGACTAATGTATAAATTCCCAGTGGTGTTGTTTCATCTCTCCAGCCTCCAGGACACATTTAGAACATCAAAGCTAAGAATTTACCGAGCATGAATTTGTTTCAAACCCTCTCCTCCCAGACTAATGTAAATTCCCAGGGGTACTGTGCTGTTTCATCTCTCCAGCCTCCAGGACACATTTAGAACTAAAAACATGAGTAAGACTATCAGAGTGACCAGATAACTAACTGTACTGTTTTTGTTTCAGCTGCACGTCGATGTACGTGGGAGAGTACTGCCAACACCCCAACCCCTGCCACACAGGCCCGGGACCTCGGTGTCAGAACGGTGGTACCTGCAACGTCCGCATCTCACCGACCCACGGCAGTCCCAGCTTCTGGTGTACTTGTCCCATTGGCTACTCCGCCTCTCTGTGTGAGATACCCATAGCCAACTCGTGCGACTCCGACCCGTGCCTCAACGGCGGGACTTGCTCTCTGACAGCTCTGGACAAGTACACTTGTACATGCGCTCCTGGGTTTACCGGTGAGTTGATAGAGTTATTGGTCAAAGATGTTGGATGATTTGATGTTGAAAAGCCAGTGAGACAAATAACTAAATACTTTGAATACTTTTTCAATGAAATGGTGACCATACAAAGTAGGTATTTTTAGCCAAGTGTTGGAGATGAGTGTAGGATGAGTGGCGCGATCTTGTAGTCTTGTTAGGAAATAAGGCCGACATATACCTTAGACACAGCTGTTAATTAATAGCCCATACAGCTAATGACAACTAAGCGAGCTACAGTTTATAGTGCAATCCGAACCACATTTTTGCCATGGATGAATTGGTCTAATTTTCAGGATAGTACTGCGGATAGTCGTAGTACTCACTCGTGCGGACGTTAATCCACACCAGGGAGTGTCGAATCCACAGTTCATGCCTATAAATATCCACAATTCGTAACCTCCTAGTAGCTGGATTACTGGACGACGCCACCCGTCCCAGTTCTTATATAGGCCTATGTGGATAATAATAATAAATATAAAATGTAGTGAATCAATGTGTGGTATTGCTCCAGGGTTTACCATTGAGTTCGGAAAATGTGATTCGTAGGTTTAAGGGATAAGTTATTGGCCAAAGTTGTATGGCAGATTTAATGTTGAAAAATGAGTGAGATAATTTTTTTAATGCTAGCATATGTAGAGAAGCAATGTGTGGTATCGCTTCGGTTTTGTTCCCGGTGAGTTGAAAGTAAATTGTGATTTATTAATAGCTTTAAAAGATGGGTGGGGAATTGGACGAATATCGTTGGGAGAATTTATATTGAAGTTTTAGGTTAAGTGAAAATCCTCACAGACTAGTATGACAAGAGTATGGGTGGTTTTGCTCTTCTGGGTTTGTACCAGTAGTAATTGTTACACTATGTTGTTAGTGATGGGGAGGAACATTTGTCAAATATATTTAGGGTGATTTTACGTCTAAAAGCCAACGAAATAAATATTGTTTCAGGCTAACATGAAAATAAGATTGTGCTATTGCTCCTGACTGGCTTCAATCATCGATGGGTTTAAAATTGAACGTACGTTTATTGGGGTTAAACTTAAAGGTTTTTATTCAGAAAATTAAGTACAAGTATTTCAGTTTAATTATTTTGTCTAGACAAAGTGATGATAACTTCGGCCATCTGAATCTCTTGGGCATTTATAATTAGATACTGGTCTTCTTTTAGATGAACATGTCTAAATATCTGTCCAAGTGAAGGATGATAACCTTGCGTCTGATTGTTTAGAAAATTTAATTTGAAATCAATATACAATCTGATTTATATTTAAAAACGCCTGATCTGACATAGTGATCCGAAATCCTTGAAATTTTACTAGTTTCGATTTACGAAAACGTAATTCATCCTTTATTCCGCAGTCGTCGTATTTTATTCTAGTACTGAGCTTAAATTAGTCATCATAATTCAAATAAATTGACCAATAGTTAAGCTGTGTGGCAAATAGATTAGAAAGTATGGAGATATAAAACCGTTCCAACCCGCAGGGGTTTGGATTTCAAAGGGTCAATAAGATTGCAATTGTCGAGGACTGGTTTATGGATGAAATATCATGTAAAATGTTGCTCCTGGGACTATCGGTGAGTTAGGAATCCTGGAGTTTATAAACTATATTGAAAAGATAATAAAGATGTGTGATGGAGAATCTAAATGAGGCAATTGTAATGATTAGAGGCTTCTCACGTTGAGAGAAATTTAAAACGCTTCCCAGCTTATGCTAGAAGATAGATAGTTTTGCAGAGAATATCATTATCATTGATTGTTATAATAGATAGTAGACAATGGACTAAGAAACAAACTTAGTAGTACAGTTTGGACCATTGACTGTTGGGTGTTGTATCAAAAGTCAAAAGGTTGGACACACTGAAACCAATATTTTTACAACATAGATAACACCTTTACATCAAAATGTTTACCTTCAGTAACAATTTGATTGTTGAAAAGTCAAAATTTTGATTATTCAGTGTTAGTCAGTTTTGGACAAGGAAAGAAGTCTTCACCGAGGACAAAATTTTCTTCAGAATATCTATACTTTCTAAATGTGCAATTTTAACAGTTAATGATGCTGAAGTTTATCTATTTGTCATTTAAAACTCTTGTGTTCCTAAGTAACCCCAATCACAGAAAACATACTACTATAACCCAGAATGCCAACCGCATGGTAAAAAGCATTAAGCGTTTTGAGAGAGCTTTGCCTGTCAATCCGTAGACAGCGCCACCAGCGTTGCTATGCTGAGTGCATGGCAACGCTGGTGGCGCTGCCTACGGATTGACAGGCAAAGCTCTCTCAAAACGCTCAATGCTTTTTACCATGCGGTTGGCATTCTGGGTTATAGTAGTATGTTTTCTGTGCCCCAATGCAATTACAACGCTGAGGTCATTGATACGGTATTGCGTTGCCTCAGTCTTGTGTCCGTCTCAAACCTCCTCTCAGTCCCATGAACTACAACCAAGGCCGGATGTGAATGTAAATCAAACCTTCGGATCTTCAGTGCCAGTTGCCCAACACGGCAAATATCCAGGCCTATCTTCTCACTCTCAGTCTAGTTTATGAATGTTGAATGCCACAGTATGAGTTAGGGATGCCCCTTAAATTGTGTGAAGCTCTGAGGGTTCTATCAAACATTTTGTATTCTTCTCGGCCAAAACATTTGTTACTTATTGTTGGCCCTACAGATGTGTTAGTTTATTTAATTTGGATTGGAAACGTGTTGATTGCTAAAGATTGCTTTTCTAAAACTTTGGTTTGGCTTTTCTAAAAACACAATTGGTTTTGTTGTAAGTCTTCATACAAGTGTCAGCAGTTTAGACATTGAAGAAGTAAACAAGATTTTTAAAATCTAGTCAAAGATTAGTCTAAAGCTACACATAATACCCTGAGTAGTCTATTCGTTGCGCCGCCTTCGGTCCACCATATATTCGGACATCCATATTGATCAACAAGTTTTTTTCTTCCTGATAAACGTTTGTTTCTTCAATAAACCATGATTGTATAATGGTTGCATGATGGTCGAGATCACATGCATGAAAGGTCCATTATAGTGAATCTCCCTTAGGGAAGTAGCCGTTAAAATTAAAATGTTAACTTTTAATAATTTCTAGGACAGTACGTGGTGGTGGTAAATCTCAATGATGACTGCATGAAGAGAATGATTGTTATTCCATCGGTTGATACGACATTACTGATAAGACGTACATCGGTAGCCCCAAAGTTTACTAACTCATACAACCGATCACCCTATTACCACGAGAGAATTTAGTAGATACATCCCGAGTGTTTAGTCAGTGTGTATCGATATCACATTCACGAGATTCAATCACAGAGATGCTCGGAGGGTTGGAGCACACAATGGATGTTGACCAATAGCGAAAGGTCTGATCGTGCCTGCTAGAGCCTTGTGTCCCGTCATACAGTCATCAGCCATCACCGCTAGCTATTCATCCATCATCATGCGATCATGCGTTCATCCGACAGTCGACGTCAACGGTGTCGGATAGAGGTATATTCAACAGCGCGTGTGCACCAGTGTTGCACCAGTCGTTTGGTTCACTACACATCGCTGATCGAAACTCGTGATGAGTTGTACACGTCTTCTTTTGCGATTTTCGGTCAATTCGCTTGGCAAGAATACCAGTGGAACGCCATTACCATTGCTTCAATTGCTTAGGGGTGGGAGCCGTCTAGAATTTGTGGACTAAATGATTATGGCGATGGAGGCGAGATGAAGTCGTAGAGCGGGACCGCAAAACCGCTAAACCAGATTATTCCGCAACCCCTAGGCTAGCCCGAAGTAATGTGAAACCTATCCAGGGCTAGCGTCCAAGACAAAAAGATTATGGCAATGGCGTTAGGATTGACCACGATGGGAGATCGTTGGATACCACAATTACGGATTCACAAAGTTAACCTGTGTTATCGTGAAGTAACTTGACGCAGACTACGTTCATACCATTGTGATACAGTATGATCTTCGCTGTCCAGTCGCTAGACGCCAGTGACGTGTGTGGCCGAGATGTATGTTATATACCGGTGTCAGTAGGTGGCCGCTTTCACCAGATAGCCTGCTCTGGTCAACTAATTAATGCAATGAGCAGCTGCTCGTATTTTGACGCTAACACTTTGCAGTATATCAATCTGCATGCGAGGCTCATGTTGCGTAGTGCATCCATTTAAGGTTAATCCTTGCGGTGTGTTGAAACCTGAACATTTTAAGGCGATTGAAGATGATCTTATACTTACTGAATTAGTAGTGTGATATTATAGTGTGACAAAACATATTATGGCTATAGGCTAATGTGTAAATGCGTAATTTGTCTTTGTCCTTGTTCATAGATAAATAAATAAAAATATGTATTTTATTAGAAAGCGTTTATCAGTACAAAATGTTTTACAACGACTCTTGTCATTTAACTTATAGTAACTTAAATCTAACATAAAAAAACACAGATTGATAATGTACTTAGCCTAGAGCGGTCGGTTGTCTACGTCTAAAAGCTGGGGCACCCAACAACTTGAGGTGACAGGGGAGTTCGGTCCAAAGTAGAAAAACCTTTCCTACCTACTTCCAGCTTAACTTAGAAAAAGTGAAGCTGCTTGTCCTGTCGGGTATTGCGCTGAGACACCCGAAGATCGTAGGTCAGTTTAGATAGGATTGTTTATACAGCGTGAATGTGGAATTCCCCCAGAAAAACTCGTGTCTTCAACACCAAACAGATTACTTTACATGTCGTTTGTAAACGATATTCTGTTTGCTGGGGTTGTTATTGGGTTTCTAAAGCCCCGAAAGCCATCACGACACCGTTCACAAGACACGCCTCCGGGCGTAAACAACGACACGAGGTAGTTTTCCACCGAACTGTGGGAATTGTACCATCACATTTGCCTATCGCACCGTAGGGTTAATGTGTTTTTGTATAGTGCGAAATTTCTTGTGATCTCCACTAGATTTTCTTTTATCTGTTGAAAATGTCCGAGGAATTTAGATCAAGCTTACAGACAAGAACGGAAAACCTATTGGACTCGCCAATTTTATAAATATTTGAAAATGTTACGATACGTAATTGTTATAATCCAAAATATGGAATTCAATATTTAGAGCACGGTAATGTGCTACTCAGTATTAAAAAATTTCCGAAAACATTGAACGTGTTGGAATCGGATCTGTCCAATAGGAAGATTTTGAGAAATATCTCGACATAATTTAAATTATCATACCCTACTTGAATGTTAACATCCACTATGCGTGGTTTAAAATTATCCAGAATTATTTTAAATAGTAACTTCATCGTAGTTGCCGCCACGAGTGAAAGGTTGCTCCAGGTCTTTTAACGTATATGTGTTTTGTCTTTGCGTTGCGTTTTAAGCATTAAAATCATTGATAGCGATTGTCACTGATGCACACGCTTCATCAAAAGTCTCTTTGACTGGAGATATGTTGTACATAACTCAATTTTGAATACATTTAAATCTACAGAATCATTTTTAATATTTGTATAAATAAACGTGGATATTGTGAGCTGAACCTCTTTCTTGGTCAATTTATTTTTTTTCGTTTGGATAATACCTGTGCAGGGAGTTTTGTGATCTTTCAGTCCAGGGAGCAGATTCCCCACTGGACTGAGGCGATCGTAAACTGTTTTGAATAGTCAACAAGTCATTGGCCCAGTTTCGTGGTGTCCTATTCAATTTTGCCAAATTTGTTTTCAACTTCGATACTGCAAGCTCCTTCCATGTACACTGTGTTGCCTAACTTTTCAGCGACCTCTCAAATTCCCGCCGCTGCTGACTGCACCAAAATGACGTCAATATCCTCATAGACACTATTTACAAGTGTGTGTATCTATGTTACAGGCGCACATTGCGAGTTGAAGGACTACTGCGCCTCTATGCCGTGTCGTAACGGCGCAACTTGTGTATCACTGGAGGACTCGTACAAGTGCAACTGCGCCGCTGGCTTCAGAGGTCCAACGTGCAACGAGGACATTGTAGAATGTCTCAACAGCCCTTGTGTGCACGGCAAGTGCCGCAACACGCACGGATCTTACACGTAAGTTCATCTTGCTATTTGATGTGTCATACGTTTTGTGTTAGGGGTTCAAACCCTGGTCTGTTTGTAGCGTAGACCTTTTACTCGCCTTTGGCTCGCCCCAGGCCCCCTTTTAACTATAGTCATGAGAAATGGTCACGGGGATAGTATTTTGTCCGGGATTTTTTTCTGCGTTTAACCCAATGATAACTTCGCAGTTCCAAAGTATTAAAGAACAATGACATATGTGGCATCTGGGTCTAGAGTCGAACTGTGATCGAACCAGCAACCTGGAGATTTGATGGTGTGCAATAACCACTTAGCTAGCTAGAGAATTTTGTGAGTTGCCACATTGTCTTCTCTCAGGTGCACACGGAAAATACGCTCATATCTCAGAACAGGATCATAATCATGTTATTCTGTGCAAATGTGAAAAGAAAAAAACAATTCCGGGCTAGAGCCCAGTGTCCAAGGACAACTTATAAAGCTTCTACTGTATTAAGTAATATTTTTCATTATTTCTGTTTCATAGTTTGCTTATTAATACATCAATACATCTTTCATTCAGCTACACGTTATGGAACCATTCCTTGTTCAGAAATCTAAATAACCAAATCAACCCTTGATCTGTCGACTGATCTGTCGAAACGAATTTTAAATGTGATATGCTTAGCATTCGTTTAATCTCTGTAGACGCCACGGCCTATTTTTAAACACACCAGTTTCGATATTGTTTATTGTTTTGTTTATGATGAAATTAAGTTTCATCCTCTTATGGTATTATAGATGCTGCAATTTCCACACTTGAGAGCATACAGAGGTTCCGAGTTGAGATTGCATGCACCGCCTCCTAGTAATCCCAACACGTAGTAAACCACTTGCACGCTTGGCGAGATCCCCGCGTAAATAGAAGTTGTTATCGCAGGATTACCCGCGGATGTCGCCTTAACAGTAATGCAAGGACGAGTGGCGAAAGGATCTGCATCCATGGCTGGCCTTCGTAAACACCATGCCGGATGCTGATACTAGCAGTACTAGGAGCCGTTCTGCAGTTGTCGCGACAATGAATAAAATATCAGTGCGGTTACTCACGCTCGCAAAGGTCGCAGGTCCAATCCTGATTGTTATCTTGATAGGGAAAACAGTTACGGACAGTTAGAAGCTGTGTGGATGCGTCAACTTTGGGGAAGTGGAAGGGAGAGGATTGAATTTATAGAAGATAAACGGCGTAAGCAAACTGTCGCGTACGTTTTCCTAGGTTTCCTAATGGTTGAAAATCGGCGGGGGTTACGTTATTCTGTGGGTTTTAAGGAAAAGAATCACTGTTTAAAATCAAATTTCCATAAATAATGAAAAACTTTTGTAGATAGCCTACTATACTGTACTTCAAATGGTAAATTTCATTAAAATGGAAGTACGTGTGGTATGTAGCACTGTTCACATCTACCCACACAAAAACAGACATCATTTTCAAAACCCCCTTATGGGTTCAGGTGGACCCAAAACTGATATTTACACTTGAAACTCAAACTCGAAAATTTTTACAAATATAGGCCTACCATGTATACTTTCTCCACGTTCTACGTACAGGGGGTGAGAGCAAACACGTTGGATTTCTGTCAGTTATGACTTTAGTATTGGAAGGGTTTATAGTATTGATTGCATTGAGGGATATCAGAGTAACTATTGTCGAGAATCGTATTCTATGAATTTGATAACTTGACTAGAAGTTGTTGTAACAGAAGAAAACACCATAGTAGATATTCGAGGGTTGTTCCTCTGCAATAATGGTGTTATGTCCTCAACTCCTCTGACATTATAATAAGTCATGGTTTATTTAAGATTTTTGAAGTAGCACAGAATATTTGTTCCGTTGCAGGAAGGTAAAAAGTAGTAATTTCAGCCGTTGACCTAAGATAATAATTAGAGGACATAAGCCTTTATGGCTTTTAGACTTTGCGTCAATTAAACTGTAGCTGACTGTGTCGATGCGAAACCAACACCTATATAGCCCTGAAAGAACAAACTGTAATGTTTTCCCTGCCGTTTATATGATCTGCTATGCAATTTAAGAAGTTGTGTGTTATTTATTAGTAAAGTATCACTAATTTTACTCCAATAAACAGTTCAAACCTTTCCGCAACTACAAATTTATTTCCCCATGAAACTTATCAAGAGTAATGCTTTTTGGTAGTTTGGATATGGACTAGACTAATACGACTGTCCGAAGAAACATCAGTATCTGTGATGACATCGGATCAAAACACGATTCTATTATGGAGACGGATCTTTCCTTGTCATATTATTAAAAACATATTAGCCTAGGTTTCAATTTACATCAGCTAGTGATAGCTCTTAATCTAAAATAAATATATTATATAAAGCTGTTGATTCAATTATTAAAATTAAAACTTTTTAGTTGAGAACGAAACACAAGTTTGGTAAAAGAGTTAAATGTGTAATCAGCAAAGATGAACGCATTTTTATCATGTGGTAAATCAGTAAATTTTAAGTGAAGGTCTTTGGGAAACACAGGAGTTGTGGCTCGCACGTTGTCATTGAAAAATGAGAATCAGTTCACTTGAGACGTGGGTCGTAAGTTTGTCGCTGAAGTGCATGTCGCACCTTCACTTTCTCCTGTTATCTTCAGTATCATTTGCTGCCGGAAAGTGTATTAGTTGGTCGTTATATTAGTACATGTAATAGCCATAGCACTTAAAAGTTCCATTCTACTAAAGTCGTGAAATAAATTAAACCAGCCAAATTTATCGTGTTGTCATTGTACTGCCTCCGTTCTCATTTGCAAGCACCCTTATGTGTCTTGTGTGCTTCTCCATCTTTTGAACAAGTCCAATAAACGTCCGTTTAAAAGGACTGTTCACACCGGCGTAGCCAGACGTATTAATACTTTTTTGGAATACGTAGCTGACGTAGCTCTTAATGTAATTCATAGAGAGTGTTCACACCGGCGTATTAATACGTGAGCTACGGAAGCTACGGCGCTGCCGCTACGCCGGCTAGCTACGCGTAGCTCGCATCGCCGAATACGCGCATGCGCACTAGCACACCGGACTGTCACCGCCACCCTCCCTCCACCTTATAATTAATTTATTTAAGCGGTAAATGTTGGATTATAACACAAAAATTAAGAATCACTTTAAAAAATCATTAAATCACTATAACATAACAACCTTAAGAAAACTTTATATGATCAATATAATAATACTTCATCATACGAGTACCTAATGTTCACTAACATTTTGCTTGTAAATCTCCTTATCAAAAAAGTCGTCTCTCTATGGCTTATTATGGCTCATATTGTGGGCTGATATTTATGAAACATTAATGAATTATTTTTAGACATAGGCCTACGTCTTACTTACACCATAGAATATTTTATCATGTAATCCATGGATGAGCAAAATTATTGCATGTTTTCTGATAATATTTATTTTATATTATAATATATCACAAGTTTTATAGTCTACTACTGTATATACGGCCTAAAATTAGAGTGAAACATGTTTGTCAACATTAACTGATTAATCAACAGACTATTCAGAGTATACTATAAAAGCAGCAATTGAACCGTGACAATCTTAACTGAAATCCATAAAACGCTAATAAAAATAAACAGTAAAATTACCAAATATAAAATAATATAATAAAATAAACCAACAACAGCCGGCTCACCGGCTACGTAGCCGTCAGACGTAGCTGCGGTGTGAACAGTGCACGGGCGACGTATTAATACACCGAATACGTCTGCAGACGTCGGGCTACGCCGGTGTGAACAGGCCTTAACTAAAGGGACTCTTACCGTGTGTTGCCTTTTCCTAGACGTAAGGATTGAAATTCGTGTCTCAAACCCGTTTATATTATGTTCAATAATTTTCGGTCACACAGCTAGGCCGTGGGACGGTTCAACAAGGTGACGGTGGGCCCAGTTAGTTGTAGGACGCTTTATGTATTCACGCCCTGCCGATAATGGTTCAAATTGTTGTGAGGCGGCATTTTGAATTGTAAATGGCGGAGGGCGGACGGCCTAGTTGGGAGTGCGACAATGTTACCCGCCTACTACCTGCTAACAAGGCCTTGTTAGACATTCTCATCATACTGCAAGCCTACAAGCCCACTAGCTCGTGAGTCATTGCCGACTAACAAGTTGCGACGAATAATTGTGTGTTAAAATGGTGGTTAGCGGATTCCTCAGCTTCGACGGTGTAGTTAGGCATATTCCAAAAATTGGAAAACTTCCCAGCTTCTTTTTACGAACTTGTTACTGTTAAGTTGAACATTTCGATCTTGCACTTAGCTCAACAATAAAGCAAATACTTCAGTTGCACATTTTGTCAATCTTCTGATTGTTGTTTATTTTTGAAGAACGTTATTGATTACGGAATGGACGATTGTTAACTATTACTGTATTTGTTGGATAATCTTGAAACTTTCGAGAACCTCGATTTGAATGGAATGCTGGCGAGAATACGTTTACAAAGTAGGGATTACTGTATTCGTCAAATGATTGAAAGGACGCAAAGAACTTGGATGAATTATGAACGTTGTAAACTTGAATTATTTGTCATTCGGATGATATCATATTACCAAACATTTTTCAGATCCCGAAGTGGCAATGTATCTGATTAGCCTTGTAAACCGTGTTTTAGCCGATCGGTGTAAATCAAGTTAACGGCGTTCTCAAGAATCGAGTTTCGAGAGGTTTTTTATAACCTCTTCTTTCTATTTGGAGGCTTGTTATCTCTCTTACATACACTTTCTGTATGTCAACCTATTTTGCTCAACGAATATAGTGTCATCAAGAATTGAATGCCTTCCAAAATAATTTCTCATCGACGGTGTGATGACATTATGTTGTTAATTTATTTCTAGGATATTTTATTTGTAGGACAAGGGCAACTACAGTTTATTTGGAAACTTTTTTCCCTAGAATTCTCATCCTGACATTTTCTTTTGTTTCAGATGCACGTGCGAGCCCGGCTACACAGGCAAGAACTGCGAGAGCGAGTACATCCCTTGCGATCCATCCCCTTGTCTCAACGACGGCGCTTGCAAACAGATAGACAATCTCAACTACGAGTGTCAGTGCGTTACAGGTAAGCCTTTCACAACGATCTAGCCACCAGATAGCTATACTGTAGACTGTAACTCGACCTAGTTTAGCGCTATCTGTCCACAGACAGCACACACGCGGTTTATCGTGGTTGTAATACTGGTTGACGACGACCCGAGTCATATCGCAGCTTCCTGCTTCTGCATGTTGTGAGCTTCGAAGATGCAATTTACATTTTAGATGGCACATTCCTATCTCCTTTACTGGGAGAATAGGTTCCGTGCAAAATGTATCTTCCAATTTTTGATGACAGAAGAAAGACAGGAACGCTGGGACGTTGAAGTTGCTATTGTTTTTACACTCAAAATGAAAGTCTTCTTACAGCACTCACTTAAAATAGATACAGCTTAACTGAACTATCCCTTGAAAAGTGAATAAACATAGTATTAGTATCGTTGTGACGATCCTAATAATCACCTACAACCAAAATACATCAAACGAAAACAATCTTAGAAAGAATCCTGATTTAGAAATTAGATACTAGAATCTTGGAAACGTGGTTAAGAAAGTTGAAACAGGCTGAGAATGTGTTTATTTTACACAGAAAATCCTGTAAACCTGATTTTACAAAAAGTTCTCACCTTAAGATGACACAAATCTTCGAAACCGCCTACGACAAACCTGTGTCACCCCTACATTTGAAACCCCTTTGGCCCTTTCAGTTGCAACGGTTCTTTTCAATCTGGCGCTATTCAAACGTAGGGCAGAGATTTGCCAACTGTTGATGCCAGGAGGGCGACGAGACACCTGCCTAGGAACCGGATGTTTAACACACGTGGTCCACGGTCGTCCAGACTAAGCTTCCAAATCTACACGTGGGCATGCAGGGCTGCCAATAATTACAAACAAAATAACCCTAGACATCCTTTGAGTACCTGATTCGGTCATGACTGTGGTAAAGTGATAGATTGGTAGCCACTCTACAGCTTTATTTTATTGTTTACTAATTGCACAGTAAATTGCTGGTCTTTTTAGTGTCTCTATATTCGGTACGTAAGGGTTGGGTAAATTCCTAGCATATCCACTAAAGTTTTTACGAGTTTTAGAGATTTTGAGATGAACTCGTGCAAAATGCAACTGAGAAAACTTTATTTAAAAAAAAAAACCATATTATAGTGACAAGACTGTAATAATTATGTTCTTTCTTACTCAAGTAGTACATCCATTTTTTATAAGCGCAATTGTTTGCACACTTTACATGTATGATCTACTCTACTTTTATCAATATGAATATAGGGAAGGCACTTTCAATTTTGCATATCGGATATGGCTTTGAAAGGATTGTTCCCTGCCAAACTTAGAAGATTGTTTTCTCATACATTGGCTGACTTTAATGACTAAACCCCTTCTCCATTGCTTGTCTTTGGTTGCATGACTGATGATTTGCCTACGGCGCGGCGAGAGTTGTTGAGATAATTGTCTAGGTTTCACCATCTTCGGCTGTAGAGGGCGGAGCTACGGTCATAGACGCAACTTTATCGTTATTTATTGACGGTCATAGAAGCGGTTAATATCTGTTGATAACCTTCGTTATTGCTATTGGGGAGTTTTACTGTGTGACAAGACGTCCTAATGAGCAACGGGATAAAGTTTGAAGTAGAAAAGTGTCGAGTCATTGTATAGTTTCGAATTATATATTTTGCTTTGTGTTCAGCAAAGCAGTATCGTTACTTAATAAGAACTTGTGCAGACCTAACTTTTAAATTAACACTTGTTGCCTGAATTAGTATTTAGTATTTTTTAATTGACTTGAGAGGATTTAACGAGAGTTTCTCAGCGATGGCTCTGGCTGTTTCAAAAGAAGTGCGACTGTTCCTTTGACTATTAATACAACTTCAGTGTCCAATAGTGAATGGGATTACGTACTGCTAGTTTGTAGCTTTGTGTTGTTCTTGATTTAGCATGTATTCATTCTCTTACGTTGTTGCACATCATTGTTTACTAATGAAATTTGACCAATGTAATGGAATGCAAATAAGGTTGTAAAAGACGGTCGCCACACTCATGGTTGGCATCTTTCTTCCTTTCCCTCTTGTGCAATTCTGAGTCCTTTTCTTCCTCCATTCATTCTGTTTTTTCGTTCTGACTCTAGTAAAAATACTGCAGTTCTAAACATTATGCAGTTAAAAGTCTTTTTCGTATTTTTGATTCCAAAATGTTGCATTCGTTTGAAATCGTGTTTAACAAATTAGGGTTTAAATTACTTGTTTGCTGTCAAAATGACTCCTTGTTGTTTAAATTGAGCAACCAGATAATTTTAACCTTTATTCATCAATTCAGATGACCAAGAAGCCAAACAATCATGATCAAATTTTCACGCTCTTAAGATTTCTCACTAGTATAGTTAAACGCGTATTTAGTAAGGATCCACCCATCTACCTTTCGTGACTTGCTTCTTCCTTTCTGTATTAGTTTTGTCAAAAAAAAAACTCATGTTGATGAATAAACATATCGTTAATTTTGAATACCTATCCAGGTTCATCACTTATCCATTGTCTTTAGATTTTGACGTACTAGGTTCGTAGTCATTTTTGCCTACTTTTGTTACAACTTTTCAACTATTCATTCGGATACACACAAGGAAATCTCACTACTCTGACCTTGTTTATCCACTATTCCCTCATGACTACTACAACATCGTCGTTTTCACCCACTATAATCACGCCCTCTAGCTTCCTCTAATCCACCCCGAGGACTTTCGCAAGCCGGTCGCATTTGTGTAACAGTTTGACCCCGGGTTATTTTCCCCACCAGTGATACAGTACCTGGAAAACAGTCTGGCCTGGAGCGGATCTGAGCTGGGCGACCGCAGCTCCAGCCGCAGCCGCGGATGACTTGTTTGGTTGGAATGCGGCCTTCCTCGTCCCGTCTACTACCCGCGCTGCAAACATCAACCCTCTGCTGTTGTTCTGTATTTAGTTGGCTATGCAGCATATCTCGCTTGTTAGAGAATGTTCTGCTCTTTGGTGTCTTGAAGTGTGTCCTTGCAGTTTTGTTGGGTTGATCGATGCACATGGATTTTTTTTCTAAGACGCTAGGCATGAGCCTGGGATTGTTTTCCACATTACTTCAGGACATCACATTTTTTACCTTTTTCACATTTTCATGGATTTAGGCTAGACTTAGGGGTTGCGGCATTATCACTTCGATCAAATCCATTTGGTGACTTGGCGGGTATCGAACCCGGGACCTCAGGGACTAAAGTCCCGCGCTCTACCACTACGCCAGCTCGCTCCCCGCACATGGATTAAGTACCATCGTAACTAATTGTTTACCAATTAATTGGTAATTGTACTAATTGTTTGTTGTAACCAGGACTTATATTTATTTACTGTTTAGTTGGATTTGCAGCTTTTTAAGTTTTTTCTATTTTGCTCATAATCGCGTATTAACCACCTTATGTTGGTCAAATCTTCTATAAAATTACGTGGCCATCGTTGGAAAGGATACACTCTCTTCTCTTGTTTTATAATTAACTGGATTTGCAAAATTTGTTGCAATAAGTTTGGAAACATTTTGCTCTTTAATTTCGAAAGTGTTTTGAATTTATGTATATAGAATCGTTCTTAGCAAATCGTTCAAATTTTAGATTTTATTTTGTACTATCTACTGTATGTTTAGTTGTCTTTGTAGTTTGATATGTTGTTCACTAGGAGGATTTTATATTTCTTATATACAGTAGTAGTAAAATTTTAAATCGCTTGAACCTATAAACAACACCTATAAACAATTGGGGAAAACTCTACATCACAGACAATATGCTATACATGTTTTTGCGACACCGTTTTTGTGGGTGGGGTTTTACAACCCCTCCCCTATCCGTGTTAACTCTTAGCAAAAATACCCCACCTTGAAATACTAAAATATAGCTCAACCTTAGGAGCCAATGTGATTCCCACGGAGGGCGCCCTAGGTTGCTAGGTCTATCCGTCTCGCATGAATATTTCACCAACCTTCTGCGATTGCTGGTATCAGACCCGTCATTACTGTACCAACAATGCATGCAAATCTCGCTTATTATGTGTTATGAACTGCGCCCCCTCGCATTACCGAATCCTCCGGTCCATGGTCCACCGTCGCACGATCCGCTCCGAGGTGAAACGTAAACACGCGGACCGAACTGGACTGGAGTGAGAACGAGGAGTGAGTGTGCTCTAGGAAAGGCAACCTTAAGTTTTGGGGATTAATTAGCACAACACAGATTGTTGATTCACTGAAATAAAGTATAAGAGGCAGTTGAAATCAAAATTCTTGAATTCATAGTCTGTAAAATTAGGAGCTCATGCTATTCTTACTTTAGAACAGTACCTTTCACATGGTCGGCAACACTGTCAAATTGATTAATGAATAACCTTGGACAGTTTAAGCAGATATTGATTGACCCAATTTTAATTATTAGGAATGCATTTGAATCTGGGTATCAGCTGAACCGATGTTTCCTGGGAAATGATCGATTGCTCTTGCAAAAAGTTCATTTATTGTACAGGTCACCACATTTTGGGGGTGATATAGGCATAGGAAGTACAATAATACATCCATATTATACCATTGCAACCTGTTCATTGTGGTATTATACTTCCTAAGTTCCTAAGATTCCTAAATTTGAACAATTTTGTCTAATTCCTTTTCGAAGCACATCGTGATCAAATCTCGATCCCGTTTCCCCTCCAGCATATCCTCCTATGGCATTACACTCCCGATACTTTCCCACTCAACCTCCGGAATGCTGGAAACGGCGGTAAATCGGCGGCAATGACGTAACCTTGTCGGGAAATGTGGGATACCGGAGTGTCGGTCTGGTGGCCGGCGGCGCAGCGCATAAATGTTTCTAAATGGTATACCAGGGTTCGTGTAGCCCTAATGATAAAGTATAGCGGCGTCGTGGTCGTCGTGGTCCCCTACAGGCGCGCACGATGTCTTCCCCCCCTCGCCCCTCGCCAGGTCGTAGTGGCGTTCACTGACCGCGGCTGTATTGTGTGGTTT